GCTTAAATGCCAAGACATTATTTAACCAAATGGATGGGTGAATTTCACATCCAAATCCAAGACCTGTTATCTTAAATCTGATTGGTTCATCCATAAATCTTAGTTTTGCCAATAGAATCTCTCAACAATTTTCCTTAGTCAGTTAGAAAGATTAGAAAAACTCTTCTACAATCATTTATATAAAAAAAGAAAATTCAGCGAAGAAAATTTTCTTTTCGACGAAATCATTTACTTTCGCTGTACATTCATAAATATAGTTAGATATGGAAAATGTATGTCTATAGAAGGATAGAATGGATTGTATCAAAAAGTGGATTCGACAATAAATAACAAATGAGGTCAACGTACTAATCAAGGGGTAAGGAAGAACAAAATTTAAGGGTCAGATAATAGTCTAATTGACAGATATGAAGAAATACGACTTGCTCATGTGGGGCATGTTACATAGGCCGCACAAAGCGATCATTATCCAAACGCATCTCCGAACTTTATCCGGATTGGCTTTTGAAAGGGGAGCGAAAAACAATCACGAGTTCTATACAGGAGCACTTAATCAACTGTGGACATATCGCTCCAAAAGACTCTTCGTTTAAAATAGTTTACAGAGTCAAAGGAACTGGATCGAAGGGGGTTCGAATCAATATTTTATGCACCGCAGAGGCATTGGCAATCCACAAACCAAAGCCTGAACTTTGCGTGCAGAAACGATTTGTCCAACCTCTTATCCTTCCCTGGCCTTAATGGGTATGTTTCTAGGTGGGGGTTTTTTTAATGCACTTTTATTATTATCCATATTTTTAAACTCTAATCATTTATTATTATTACCTTTTACAAGTTTTCTTGAGTATCATTCAGTTTATTATTATGACCTTGATTGTTTTGTCGTTTTTCTTCAATATTTGTCAATTGGACTATTATCTGACCCTAAAATTCTGTTTCTTCCTTACCCCTTGATTAGTACGTTGACCTCATTTGTTATTTATTGTCGAATCCATTTTTGTGATACAATCCATTCTATCCTTCTATAGACATACATTTTCCATATCTAACTATATTTATGAATGTACAGCTAAAGTAATTGATTTCGTCGAAAAGAAAATTTTCTTCGCTGAATTCTCTTTTTTTCTTATTCAATGACACTATGAGTTATTTTAATCATTTATGTTTATGGTTAAATCAATGTTATACCCTTTTATTAACTTACTTAGCATACAATGTGGCGAGACTCTAATTTATGGACGAGCCAATCAGAAGCGTTTTAGAGAGTTCAAGGTTACGGCGCCAAATTCAGTACTTAGTGATAACGAACGGTCGGTTAACAGGGAATTGTGTACAAAACGTGATAATTCAGCGGCTATAACAAATAAAACGGCGAGACTATAATTTGTGGAAGAAACAATTAGGTATAAAATAACAGATCTCGGATTTTGGCGTGAAAGCCTTTCATCCATTTGGTTAAATAAATTTCTGGCATTATAACTGATGTCAGTTTGTGATGAAAACCCTACATATAATTCCTAACTAAGACAAAAATACGACAACTATTGCAAACAGAAATATAAAAGTTCCAGTAACACTGGCTGCAGTTTGGTACTACAATATATACGGATGTTTGGAGAGCCTACAGACTCCTACATAGACTTGGTTATGTTCATCGTGTCGTTATCCACAAGTAGCATTTTGTGCACTCAACAACCTGAATGCACATAAACAATATTGAAGCTATGTGAACGAGGCTGAAAGAGTAATTGAGACTTTATCATGACTCCAGAGGCCGACTATTCTGTAGTCGTATGGATGATCTCCTCTACTGTATGCATTACGATTTTAGAACCTCTGAACCTCTTTCTAACTTTGACAAGTTTTTGAACCATGTCTAAGAAGTGTATCCACTTTATTTCCTTGGTTTTGTATATTATATTTTTACTCAGCACTGACTGTTTGCTGATTGACTAATATTTCTCAAAGTCACTTAAGATTCATTCAAAGGTCGTCTATAAATTAGAGTCTCGCCTACAATGCTATTCGAACTATAACAATTCAAATAATTCTTTGTATCATTATGGTCATTAATTTGTCTGTATAAACGTGTACTCTTAATCATATAACATCTCTCTTCAGCTAAAATGTTAATCTCTTAAATATCTCTCGATAATTCATTCTCTTCCACACATATAGTTGTACTCAAATCCTACTATTAGCCTTTGCCTTGCCTATTTGAACCTTGATTCAATTTGACTAGAAATTCGCTCACTCATAGATATTTACCATTCTCTGTTTCGATTCACTTGACATACTTGTAGCTATTGTTATCTGTACTATCTGTTAATAAACTATAATCACCGCTTCTTATTGTCTAATGATTAAAAACACTATTGAGAATCAATATAATCACAGTTATAAAGATTGATTAATTGATTGATTAATTCATGTAACTAAGTCACTACAAATTCTATTGATTTGAAAATGAGTTAATTTTCATCGAAATATTTAATATTTATCTATAAAAATGTAAATGTTGCGTTTTTCTCATCAACTAGAGAAAAAAAAAACTTTTTTTTTGGTTGTTGATAAATTTAGTTTCTATGCACATGTCTAGTATCCCAATTATGACAACAGAATATATACTTACACAATGACCATAGATACAAGTACATTCATCACAAGCTGGGAATTATGTAAGTTTATTTTATTCTATATTTTTTTTTCGACGGGAAGGGGAGAGGGAGGACCAAAAAATTAAATTCAAATTTATAAATGTTTAACATAATTTTTCAGAACGAAAAAAATTAAACTGGTCAATTTTTCTTTTTTCTTTTTTCTCATTTTTTTTCTTGTTTTTAACTTTGAAAGTCAACTTATTTGCTTAGATGGTAGTTTCTATGTTATCTAGTTAAATAGGATATGGAATATTTATTACAATTCAGTTGATTAATTTTAAATTAATTTAATATTCACTTGGTATTGTTTGGCTTGTATCTTCCCATTGAGGTTTAACACTGCAATTGATCAGTCTGTTATTGGCATATGTGCATTCTGTGCGTATGCCAATAACAGACTGATCAATTGCAGTGTTAAACCTCAATGGGAAGATACAAGCCAAACAATACCAAGTGAATTGAAATTCACCCCATTGCACAAGCAAGTGGCTATCAGAATTCAGTAGCTGAGTGGATCACGCGATGGCGTTTGAAGCAAATGGTACTGGGTTCGAGTCCCAGAGTGAACATCAACTCTGAGATGTAGGCACATCCAGCTGATGAGTTCCAAATAGGAGGAATCGCGCGTCCTGAACTCCACTGCTAGCAACTATCCATTATTTGGTATTGTTTGTTTGTATCTTCTTAATGTTGTTCAGGATTAGAATTGATTTTGTCGGTTAGTTTGTAATACATACATTCTGTGAAAGATTGATCAATTGTAGTCATGTTATCAACATTTAAGCAACTCTACATTGTACCTCATCTACAGTATTTTTTTTGTCGAGGAATTCATTGAATTCGGTGTACCGCCTTTAATAACTCCCTTTCAATGATATGTAGTGTTTTTAGTTCATATGAATATAGCTTTATTTTATCATTAGATCACCAAAATAAAGTCAATTTTCTCACATATTTAGACTTAATTTTCATTTACGATGTGGGAGTATATGTGACTGGTAAATATACTTCTTTATTTAGTTCTGATCATTGAATTATTCATTTTCTACCTAAAGTATATATAGCAAGCTTAGATAGATATGATGATTAGGAGTATAGTATGAACTAGGAATCTCAGAAATAACGCAATTGGATCAAGAAGTACTAGATAAGCACGAACGAATGTACTCCATTTGGAATTCGGAATCAAGCATTCAAGTACAAAAGAATCGTTTGTTTATTCAAACACCACGATAGAGTATACTCTTACATCAAACAAATAAATTACACAGAATAAACTATAAAAGATCTCTAAAATATTTTTCGTATGACATGGTGTTGCCACTGTATGTCAGCAATCCTTCAGAGACAACGATGATCAAACACAGAGAGTTGTCTAACATCTTCAACTCGGAGAGGCCAGGTTTCACAAGCATAGAACAGAACTGCTCTCACCGACGCTCTGTAGATTCAACCTTTTACGGCCAGAGATGGCCCATATTGGCATAAGCCGCTTTGGCTTTCATTATACGTGAATCGATTTCACCACTCACGCCACTACCAGCACTTATGCAGCTACCTAGATACACAAGCTGTTTGACTACTTCTATCTGCTCATCACCCATGGTGAGTACAGGATTAGAAACCTACCAGTCTTGTAGAAGTACTTTGCACTTCGAAGGTTCAAAGTACATAACATACCTACTGACACTGATTGCCAACTGATTAATTGCGTATTGCATGGCTCGGGTATTATAGCACAGTAAGACAATATCATCCGCATACTCAAGGTCGAAAAGTCTTTCTCCAAGCAACAGATTCACATCGCCATTACTTACATCCATCAAAGCTCTTTCCAGAATGTCATCTATGAAAAAGTTGAAAAGGAATGGTGAAATTGAGCAACCCTGTGTAACCCTACTTCATGAATAGAATTTCAACTAATCCATGAAATTGAACCACACATTCACCACTATCTTCAGTGAATTACTATCCCACAATAGACCCAGTTGAACTCCACTAGTCATTGTTTCCTACTCGAACTCCAAGAAATATCTCTTGAAGTCAATTACTAAGTGAGTATATATTGATTTATATCAGAAAACGTTTTATAGATTGAATTATTCAATAAAATTATTATAAAGTAATATCAGTGCAAGAATTAATTGGTTTATTATCATTATCATTTATGATTAAAGTAAATATGAATATTTGTTGTTGTTGTTGTTGTTGATTATTTGATTGGTTGAATTATCATTTATTCCCTCCTTGTTGAATGTTGATTGGTTAATAGTAATAATAATAATAATACTTCATTATTATATATATTACTCTCATCATTGTGTAATTAGTTGGTTATATATTTAAGAGTTTATCAATTATGGTAACCTAGTGTTTCCTTCTCCCCTCCTAGTTTCCCCTTCCCTGTTTTTTGTTGTTGTTTTGATTATTCTCTATTTCATAAATGATGGCTATTCCATCACAATGTTCATTGGAATTACATACAGATTCATCATCTCATCTATTAACTAAACCAACTACACATATTACAAATAATGATTATTTATCTTATTCAATAAATCCAATGATCGAATCAATAATTGATTCATCAAATATTGATCAATTGACTATAAAATCAATAAATCATCATCATACTAATAATAAATCAATATCATCGAATTCTACAAATGATTGTCCTATAGAAACACAATTATATAATGAAGAAGAGAAAATTTTAACACAATGTTTAATCCATAATGATAATCATAATAATACTACTATTAATAATAATAATACTACTAATAATAGTAATCAATTATTAAATGATGATTTATTATTAAATGAATTCTATTATGATCATGATCTATTACATAATCCATATTTATATAATACATATTATGATATTGATTATGATTTAACTGGAATGACACCATTCAATCATTCATCATTAATGAATAATACAGGTTTAACAAGATCTACAAGAAAAATTGATAATGATCCAACTATTTTATTAACTTTATTAAAATGGGCACGTATTGGTTCAAATCAATTTCATGGTGATGATGATCAAATTGATCGAATGAATTATCAATATACAAGTGTATTATTATTAATTTTATTAACATTAACTGGATTTCGACAATATTTATGTAAGTTTTATGGATTGATGGTTGTTGATTGTTGTTGTTGTTGTTATGTAATTTGAAATTTCAGGCGGTTTTTTGATTCGCTTCTTCCTGACGTGATAGCAGTTTTTATGTTTTGTTACAAGAATGGATTATATTTTATTGTTTTAGTGAATGAGAATACAAGTGAGAATAATCGAATGGGTGACACTATAATTTATGGATGACCTTTAAGTGACTCTAGACTGATCTTGAGAGTGTTCACTTAATAACCAGGACTAAATGAGGGTTATAAACGTGTGTGTGAAATCAGAGTAATGATTTACAGTTGATGATTAGGGTTAAGAATTAGATTTAAAGTTTTCATCACGAACTGACATCATCTATAATGTTAAAACTCTATTTATCCAAATGGATGAGTGAATTTCGCACCAAAATCTAAGACTTGTTATCTTACACGTGATTGGTTCGTCCATAAATTATAGTCAGTCAATTGTTTCAGAACTCATTGTTACTTCGTTTCCACACCAATCATTGTCTGTTGTTGTTCTTTTTTTTTCGATCTTCTTAATGTTCTACCTACAGACATTTCACATTCTATTGACGATACATACTACTTATATCTGTCGATATCAGTAGCACATATCATAATATGACTGACCAGTGAATGATAAAAAATTATGTGTTAATATCCAGAATTGTTAAGGAATAATGAGATTTAGGGTAAGAATGAATAATTTTGTTATTTTAAGCAATAAATACTTATATTCACTTGGTATTGTTTACTTGTATCTTCCCATTGTTACTTAGGTCTACAAGAATCTAGAATGCACGTTTCGTTCTATTTAGGACTCGTCAGGTAGATTTATCTGCATTTCAGAGTTGATGTTCACTCTGGATTCCACTACTAGTCACTATCCATCTTTGCTTTTAATGAATACTTGATTTAAGTCTCTGTGTATTATGTATTTAGTAGATAAGTTACAAATGAAATCAAATGAGTAGTATGAATTTCTCTATTTACTATCATTCAAAAATGAATTTTGTTTATTTTTATCGGAAATGAAAACAACTTACATGTTGTTGAGACTATGATTTATGGCTAACCTTTGAGTGACTCTAAAGAGACCTTAAGAATATCCACCAACTTACTATTGGCTAAAATGAAGGTTAAAAACAAGTATGAGGAGTTGTTAAGATTAGAAATTCAAATTAGGGTTTTCATCATGAACTGACATCAACTCTAATACCAAAACTCTATTTAATCAAATGAATGAATTGATCTCGCGCCAAAAATTCAAGACCTTTTATTATAAATCTGATTGGTTCGTCTATAAATTATAGTCTTCCCATATATTTTAGTCAATTTAGTTACAATTGTTCAACTATTGAACAAAGATCAATGTTACATGTTTATTCTATTCATTCAGTATTATTCGATGAATTTTAATCAATGTACAGTGTAGCTACTAGTTTACATTATTCGATATTGTATAGGTTATATTGAGATATCAACTGTTTGAAGCTGTTCTGAAGAAGATCTTTGAGTAATGGTAATATTCTGACGCTAGATGTGTTAGGTACAAATCTAATGAACCATCAATTGTCTTGAGTATGTTAACAAAAAGTATCAGTGAATACAAAAACCTAGGTCATGTAGAAATTCCCGTCGACTACCTCTAAGCGATTAATATTGAAGTGTACATAATATTTTAGCATTTCTTCATTATAGTAATGGGAATAAATTATGATAAAAGAGGGGTTTTTATGAATATTTATAGTAATTTAATAATTGAATTCATGAGTCAGTTGAAGCTAGACAACCATGGAAAACCTGAAAACACTGGATGGCCGTTTCGTCTTTAATTCTTGTGGTGTAGCAGTGAAAAAGATGTCATACTGATGATCAGTTTCTTTTCATTCACGACTACAAGAAGTTCTAGGAATACAGAGGTCGTGAGTGCTGTTAGGGGTATGACGGCGGTTATCACTTTCCGGTTGCCTACACCGTGGAAGGGTTCTTATGGAGGCACCTGAAAAGGAAATTGGATTAGAGGTGTTCTTAGTGACCTGAGAGAGTGGTCTCAGTGCCCAAGGAACAACTGCCTAAGGTCGGTCACACATGACCTTTCTGTAAGTAATTGTCGTGTTAGCTCCGTACTTTTTGAGACCTTACTGCCGGAGACGGATATCCGTGGGATAAGGCGAGGCGTGCATTTTAAGGGTCGAAATCTTTTAACTTCACCCCTCCTTGTGAGAAGGCAGCATCTCTGTCACGCTGGTGTTCTGACGGAAACACCTTACTGCTGTCACACCTCTGTACTATCAGCAGTACGACTTCGCCTTCGGACCTTGGCTTTGTTGCTTTTAATTTTATCGTTCTTTAATCGATCTGTCTGGCATGACAAGACCTTGAGGAACGGTTGTCTCAGCCAGTATAGGTTGATTAGTTCATCACGATAGGCAAGCCTGACCACCACATCAAGATAGCAACAACGGTTGGTGCTAATGTGGTATGGCAACTTGAACCGATGCATATATGTGCCTGACCCTACGTTGTAGCTGGCTGACTGATCGATAGGAAATTCTCAAGGCAAAGTTATATAATCACAAATTAAACATGTGTCTACAAGAGTTCAAATAGAACTATGAAGAGAATGCCTATACAATCGTGATTGTTTATTTTTTCGTTTTATAGTTTCGATCTGATTATCAAATGATATACATTCGTTAGTTATAAAATGTTGTAAATCACTTGTAATACAATTTATACTTGAGATTACTCTACTATTTGGCAAACATTAAAGAAAAATAGATTAGTTGTTGAAGTGTTTACATTTAAGCTTTATCATACTTCAGATTTGTCAACTAGATTTATTCATGTCTCCGTGTTAATATTTACACATAGACTTCGTACCCAGTAACTAACTCTTTCCTAATGTCAGCATATTATTCACTAAACTATTAAGTTCAGCTAATTAATATCTAATCCAATGGTATAAATTTTATTTATAAGAGTTTGTTTTCTTTCGTTGTTTATATTCAAAGTTGAAATCGATCAATTTCAATTAAGATATTTGTATCCTGGGCAAATATCCTTGATATTGTCACTTTTTTTGTCAGAAGGGGTTTGTGGAGATTTTAGAAATTTCACTGATTGAAATCATGAGTCAGTTGAAGTTAGATCACCACGGAAAACCTGAAAGCACTGGATGGTCGTTTCGTTCTAGTATGGGACTCCTGCGGGATCGTGGATGCGCACTGCTGAGGATATTATAGAGTGCTAAAACGTGTACATTATTGGGTTCTAACTGAGTCAATGGATGAACATGTTTAATGTGTTACTGGGAAACTGAATATTCTGGATGAAATCTCCGTTTGGGTAGTGTGTTAGCACTTATCATGAGTCCAATATTGAAGGAAATAGCTGTTTTGATGCTTTTCCATTGTTTATCTAACTTAGATCAGTACGCGATTTCAATAGAATTCAACAGTCTTCACAGACCCATACTGATAAATGTGCGTGTTTTTTGAAAAGAATCAGGACAGTCTGTAATAATTATAATAGATATGAGTAAATCACATAATATAAACTATTTTTCAATACCATCGCATTGATTCCTTCATATTAAACCATCATAAATATTCATTGGTAGCTATGAATCAGCATTACAATATTATTAGTCTTATCTCATTGATTTGAACAATACTTTGTCTGGTATTAGTGCGATTTCACTTCAATCAATTTGAATCATTATTTTTCGTTACCCATATGAAACACTTTCTTTTGCAACGAGCACATTTCGTAAGTATCGAATAGGTACTTGAGTTACATATCACTGACTTGCGGTGTGGCGTCCTGTCGCGGTTGACTATGATCACCTCTACAAGAAGGTTGTGTACCAGATATCAGAAGGCGATTAGAGATTGTAGCAAGATATATTTGTTGGGGATCTCGTGGTATCGAAAGAATACCGAGATCGTGCCAAAGAAGTACAAGTGGAATCACTGAGCAAACGTAAGTGCGTACAAGGTCACAATCAATGGAAGTAAGAATGTCTTAAGTACAGTTAAACAAACACGTACAGTAAAACAATCCTTGATACAATTGGTTATAATAATAATTGTTTCCATTAAACCAGTCTCGTTCTCTTCATAAAAGTAGGTCACTACAGACTATTACACATGAAAGTCTTATCTCTAGATAGTATATTGACTATCATGGTAAAACAATGTCCAAATGTATTAATTTTTCCGTCGTTGATATTCGGGGTATCAGTAAATCAGTTGTTGTTGTTGTTGTTAAGAAATGTACATCCTGAGCTTGTTTACAAATATCCTCAGCCTGAATATCTTAATAATCTTGTGATTGGAGACAGTAATAAGGCGATTGAATAAGATTCTTGTAGCTCAATAGAAACAGGTCAATCATAATGCTAACAATCAACAATCAGATCATCAAAACGATTGTGAATAAACGTCATACAGATTGAAAAATTATAATAACCATCTGGATGTAGTAACTAGTTGGATAACGCATTCATGTTTAAACTGATAAGTTATAGGTTCACTTTTCAGTTTAGATATTAACACTGTGATGTAATTGACCCATAAAACCCGTACGAGCAGTCTAGAGTAATCTGATATGTATCTGATATGTATCAGAAGGAGTTTTGTGGATATTATAGTAATTTCAATAGTTGAGATCATGAATTAATTCGAGCTAGACCATCATGAAAAAACTGGAAGCACTGAACGGCCATTTCATCTTATTGTGGAACTCCTCAGCAATGAGCATCTGCGATCCCGTCTCGCCAGATTCGAACCCAAGATCTATAGATCTGATATGCATCACATTACAATGGTTTATTATGTAATGACAATTATTTCGATTTAGTTTGTGGTAATACCACAATAGTAAGATATATACTAATCATTTGAGTAGTGGGTTTCATTTTATAAGCTGTAAAATGATTAGTTATCATGGTTCATAGTTTAAATACTCTTTCACATTTCTCAACTGA